CTCCTCCCCCACCTTCTTTCTCTCATCCTTTTCTTTTTCTCCTTCCTCCCCCTCTTCCTCTTTTATCCTTCTTTTTGATAGTGAGGATTGAAACCAAGGGTCTTCACACTGAGCTACATCTTCAGCTTCAGTTTTTCATTTGAGACTAGATCTTGCTAAATTTTCCAGGGAAGATTTAAATTTTTGATATCCTGCCTCAGTGTCCCAAAATGCTGGGGTTACAACAATTTCTGATGGAGAAAGGGTAGTCAATTGAATATTTGAGAGTTTGGAAGAGGTAGGGAGGAGTTGACACCCCAAAAGCATAGTTTAACAATGAAAGGAGCACAGACTTAGTAACATTTTATATCTGAGAAGGAAGGAGATTAAAACCAATGTGATTAAACTGTTTTATATTACAGAAAGGCAGGAGGATTGAGATCACATAATTTGGTGACCATGAGGACTGTATTTTCACTAGAGGGATAGACCAGAATGTATAAATGAGAGGTGGGAAAAGTAGGTAGTCAGTGTGAATTACTCTAATAAACTGAGTAAAGGGAGATATAAGAATGAAAATAAGCAAAAATGAATTATGGCACATGCAAAGTTTAAAAAAAAATAGGGGAGGAGAGGAAAAAAGAGAAATGCAACTTAGAGTAAGCGATAATATTTGAAGTCCCAGAAGAGCACCACCCAATTCAAGGTTACCTTTTCCCAGTCAATTGTGATCTCCATTGTTTTGGGGAATAACATGTTGAATAAAACAGACCCAGAAGGGAGATAAGAGGACAAAACTCACTCCACCAGACTTGATATTCTTCCCTGAAAGCATTCTTTGTTCTGCCCTTTTTTTGCAATGTGGCCCTATAATCAGAATTTATTTGATCTTGCTGAGATTTTTGCTTTTAGCTTTGAATTACTGAGATTATTACCTCAGCTTATCTTTTGTTTCGTTATGCTTTGGTCCTACTGGGTAATAGGTTATGTAAAATTAAACAGCAAGCGCATAGATGAATTCATCTATGTTTTCAAATATTATTTTATTATAAATGTTGAAAGATTTTATTCACAGATTGTTTTAGAACACATCAAACTCACCAAACAGTATTAATAATCTTTTTTCATTATGATTTCTGTTGTATTGTTTTATTGTTTATGGAGAATTAATTTATATTTATGTACTAAAATACAACATTCCTGACATCTTTTATAAATACTGAGAAATATACTTGTCATATGCTTGTGGGTTTCTCCTTTACATATATGACAGTGCAGCTACATCAGTTTAATTGACCTTGGCAATCTGCATCTGCTAGTGATGTGTCCCTGAGGGACGGCTTCTGCAATTTTAAGCTGTGGCTTATTGAAGAACTTGTGTGTCACAATACAATTAAGTCTATATAAAAAAAATCATTTCATGCATAACATTAAATTGACTAAAAGTTCCTATTTCAAAACCATTTCTTGTTATAAAGCTACCTCGGAGTGTCTTTGTTTTTTAAATAAGCTCATTTGAACACAGTAGTAATTAAAGCAGAAAATTAACATAAATCTTGAATGTTTGGTATGAATTAAGGATGTTTTCCTTCTTTTAAAAGACTGCATAAAATTCTAGGCATCATATCATTTAGGATATTTCTCTCCCATTTGCAGAATAATACGGACTGTGAAAAGCCTGTTTGAGGGTTCTTTTACAAGTTCTTTTTCTGTTCAGTGGTGAAGCTGGTATGACATGCCCTGTCGTTTACATCTAGATGCAATCCAATGGAAATTTTTGAGAAAATATACATGATCATAATAAAATACCCCTTATTTTATAAATAAGAAAGAAGAAATACAATCCCTCTATTAATATTCATTTAACACTTCATAGAAAATGGCAGGCAGTTATTTGGTTTGCAAATATAACTATACATTTTTCACCCACTTATGCTTTCACTCTTTCCAAGCTGGTTAAAGACAGAACAGAAGATGTACTTCTGAGGTTTATTTTCCTTACATTCCAAGTTAAGTGGATCAGCAGAGATGCAAAGGAACTGTGAGGAGAGGATAGAAGGGTGGCTACAGTGATCCAGAGGATGAAGGTCTTCCTTGCAGGGAGCAGCTAAATACATGAACACCTTGCTGACAGTTAGCAGAATGTATGTGGGTTTTATTTACTGAATCCTTGATATGATTTAACAGTAAAAATAATGGCTTTATTTCAGGAGTCATTAATTTTAAAAATATATTGTCTGGGTCTATAAGCAAACTCAAAAAAGTTCCATTTAGTTTATGAATACTCTGTAAGTTGTTATATATGCTTCAATAGAGTCTGAAGATACAGAGAATTGATTGTAATTATTTGATTGTCAAATTGTGGTGAAGTCTCTTAGAACAGCTGCTTAGTGCTACCCAGAGAAAACGTTTATGACCCTCTCTAGCACTGCTTGTATTCATATGCTTTGTCCATGTTCTCCTTTTTCCATGATATTTTTGTAGATATTGGCAAGCTGAATATGAAGTATCAAAATAGATATAAATGATTTTTATTTTGATTGATATTAGTAATATCATAGCCAGCCTTGTGACCTTTCTTTTTTTTTTTTTTTTTAATTTCTCAAATGAAGTCAGGCCTGTGTTGAATTTGAAGGCATCCAAAAAAAAAAAAAAAACGAAGGGAGATTTAGTAAATAATTTTCAAAAGGAGGCTGAAGTCATTCTTAGTATAAAAGAAGATGATTCTGTTCTGGAACACAGTATCAAACATTGATTTTTAATGAGGATACCTGAATATTACAAATGACAAAGTAATTAAAACAACTGATATTCGGACCTGTTTCTGAACAATTAAAATAATTGATATTAAGAACTACATTTGTGGTGGTTTTTTAATATTATAGTGAATCATAATATGTATATATTTGTGTCATAAAAGACACATTTCTCAAGAACTTCAATCTAAGTCACAGCATTTATTAATCATCTGCATAAAATCCACTGTGTTTGAGAAGTGATCCAGATATTGTGAGACATGAACCTTAAATAATTTGAGGGCTCCTCTTTAAGAAAGAGAAAAAGGAAATTTTACAATTTAGAATTAGGAACAGAGGCTGGTGTAAGTGAGAGGCTCTGATTTAAGCTTTAGTAAGTTCCCAGTATATATTTCTTTAACTCCAATATATGCTGTGAGAAATCACAGATACCTAAATCATAATCCCTACTTTGCTCAACATCAGAGTAAAATCTGTGCTTAACATTCAAAGATATTCCGGTAAAAAATAAGGTAAATATAAAAAGGGCTTTCATCTCCTAGTGAAATAAATTTGAATTACTTCCCATTTATTTCAGATCTCTATGTGGGCCAAAGTTATATTAAAGTATTAGAAAAGTGAGATTGTTTTTCTTAGAAGAGGGAACTGGTTTTTACTCTGCCTATATTTATTTTTAAAAACTTGCTATATATACTATTCAGTGATGATGTGCTATATTTGCCACACTTATAATAGGTTGAATTGATGAGCCATATTCATTATTGACTTTCTTGCAACTCAAGTAGCTGTCAACAGATGGTAGTGATGATCTGTTATGCAATGGGGAACAAAGATAAAGGTCTCTTTTCATGTGACCTTTAAAGACATTAGAAAAATCTCAAAATGCCATTCTGCATTGAAAATAATTACATGAATATTTAATTTTACTCTCAATAAAAGGTGAAATAGCGTAAGAGATATGAATATCAGAAGACTTAACAGCCTGAGTATGATAGCATTGAATTATCTACTCATTCATTCACATATCCATCCATCAAGTCTAGCAAATTGGACCTATCCCTGTTCTTATAAAACCTACAGTTGGGGGTGGGGGCAGAGTCCACATTAGTCCCAGAATAGTTTTCTACACTTCTAATATTCCTTAAGGAGAAAGCCATTATATATATCAAGGTTTATTTTTATGGTCTATTTTTTCTATTATGCTCAATAAAAAATTCATTTTAGGTGTCAGACCATTTTGTTTGATTATTTTCTTATATAATTGATTCATTAAGGTATTTAGCAACTTACTTCCATTTCAGGACCACCGCAGCATTTTCTTAGTTTAAGTCTTTATTTTATCTTTTGAATAGCATTGAAGAAGAGATCCCTTATTCTGACCTGAAATGCTGTAAATAGTTACCTGGAGAAAACATTTCTCCAAGTCCCAGCTTAAGCATAGGTTGTTTGTCTTCCTTTATTTATTCTCTTGGACAACTTCTTTCTTTATCTTTATTCTTTTATCTCTTCCCAATTTTAGGATTAGGTTTCCATTCAAAGTTTTTATTCAAATAGAACTCAACCCTTTCACTCTTCCATGAAATTTTAAATTCATTGGATCACAGCATATCTAGCAAATAATTGTAAAACTATTTTACACAGTAACTTTCACAAGGAACTAATAATAATGTTTGTATTTCTTGATATTTACAGAACAATAAGAAGTTGTTGACTTAAGATCTTGACTGTGCTCCTGGGTCCAAAAATTACTTAACAGTAACGGCAGATAGTTTGGTAAAAATGTAAAAGACTTTGTTCTATTTTTATTATAAAATGTCTTGTGAAAAGAAGAAATAGGCCATTGACTCCAAGCCTACAAGAGCCTGCAATACACAGTCATAAATTTTGAATCTTTTGAATGTTGATACATTTCTGAAAAAAATAATAGCATAAATATATTTTAGAAAATGCACTTGTATGTATTTAAAAGATTGTATTTTCTATCTTTGTGTATCCAGTACTTCTTAGATATTAATACTGGATCTGAAGCATTATCCAAATGTGTGGTTTTTAATTTCTACTTGTGACATATATTTGGAGTAAGTTAGACCAGTGCACTTAGAATGCATGAACTTCAATTTTGCATTAACTTCATTTTTATGGTTCATTAAAACACAGTTGCTTGAAATCCCAGAACAAATTAAATCATAACTTTTCTTAATTTGTAAGTTATTATTATGTTGCATAGTTTAGTCATTGCCTGCTATCTTTCACTTTTTTTTCCAGTAAAAGAAGCCTTAAGTCCTATAAAATTTAACAGATGGAATCTCCCAGAAGTGGATCCTGAAACTATGCAAACCAGTGAACCATGGGTGTTTGCAGGTGGTGATATTGTTGGTGTGGCTAACACTACAGTGGAATCAGTGAATGATGGAAAGCAGGCTTCTTGGCATATTCACAAATATATACAGGTATGCACTTGGAATCAATTTCAGTTAATTTTTCCAATGCATTTATTTTGATAATCATTTATATAAACATTTTTATAAGATGTATATAAGTGTTTATGAAATATGTCCCCACATGTTTACTTGGATACATGTTTTAAATGAAGAGGATAGCAGAAGTATTTATTTAATTAAAAATTGATTATGCATTTCTACTAGTGGAATGCCATGAAATCATTACACTTGCTTTGTTCAAAATGGTTTTCACTTGCTTAAATATATAGACATTATGTTAATCAAATTAGATGGTGCATAATTTATAATTAGAGATAGGATCTGTATTCATAATTATTTAAACTCCATGCACTGTACTTTTAAAAAAGAATTATATTTTCATTTTACATGTACAAATGTATGGGGTGTAATATGATAAGTCGCTACATATACAGAATTTGTGAAGATCAAAATAGGGTAGTTAATATGTCCATCTCCTTAAATACTTTCTAAAAATTTTTATTAACTTGTAACAATTATGCAAGGCATGATCAAAATATATGGTGAATGTTCAAATTTTTTTAAATTATTACATTAAAAGGCATATTGCTCAATTTCCTTCCTTTTAGCAAAAGAACTGTAGGGAGGGGTGAAGAAGGGACAGAGAAGAGTTTGATAAAGGAACTAAAATGTGTTATGTAGACAACTGTGACAATGCATACCTATAACCCCAGCACTTTGGCAGCTGAGCCAGAAGGGTCACTACAGGTTTGAATTCAACCTAAGCTAAATGGAGGATTCAAGGCCAGGCTACATGACAAAGCAAGACCCTGTCTCAAAACAAAACAAAAGGAAACACACACAAAACAAGATGCGCTGTTACATGTACCAGCTCTCCATGATAGTGTAATCATCATGTACTGCAAATATACATTAACAAATGTAAGACTTAAAGTCTCACTTCCACTCCACGGAGCATGAACAGCCGAAAAGGCCTCCACGATGCTGGGTCCTATAGCCCAACGAGGCTCCGGGAGCTTGACGGAGAAAAGAGAAACCCAGGAAGGAATACACCAGGCTAGATGGTAAACAGACCTTTATTAGTCTGGCCAGACGGCACTCTCAGAACCAAGTAGCTGGCTCAGAGAGGTGCCAGCTCAGGGGCTGAGGTCCTTTTTATAGGGGGGGTAAAAAGGGGGGGGTAACATTTTAGGCTTGCAGGCAGGGGACAAAGGTCTGCTGATTTGAGCTGGTGGTCAGCAGCCACGTACTTGGCAGTCAAGTATTGATGAGTAACAGATACCTATAGGATGTTTCAAAGGTCACCAAGACATTCCAGATGAGCAAACAATTTGACAATTAACTTGAGGTCTCTATGTCTAGAGCCACTAACTTACACATTAATTCGGATCCGGACTTCAAACAGTACAAGACTGCCTTACATTCCTAGGCCAGGTTTAGAACAAAGGTTGGGGCTATGGCTGCAATGGGAGGGGGTTAGAGCACTGTCTCCTAGGCCCTTTGTCATTTAGCATGGGCTTGTAATTGAGGTCTTACAATAAAAATACATGTTATGATAATTCCTTTCTCTCTGTGAACACGTTTATCCTGTCAGTATTGCCACTCTAAAGAAGCAGATCTAGGGGCTGAGGATTTAGCTCAGTGGCACGGTGTTTGCTTCTCAAGCACAAGATACTGAGTTCTATACCCAGAACCAAAAAGAAAAAAGAGGAAGAAGAAGCAGATCCAGAGGTTGTCTTTTGTGAGTGCCTTTACTAGGTGTGGTAAAAAATACTGTGAATGCTGCTGCCCAGTGATAGCCAATGGGAAGTCAGGCTCATTACAATGCATTGCCGTGTGTCTTCATCCACATTAGTAACCAAGTCTGGCACCATGCAACTTCCGGCCTTTTCCCACGGTCAAAATGACCCAGAAAGGTAAATAGCTGTAATCAATTCAAGACCTCAAGGCTTTTGTGAGAGCCCTCACAAAAGATTTCCAGAACTGCTTCAGAAAGTGACAAGAACAGTGGAATAAGTGTTTTCGGGGCGAGGAAGAGTATGTTGAAAGCTGTTGGTTGAAATATGTCTTTTAATATATTTTTAAAATTCTAAACATTCATCTTGTACCTATTTATGGGGTATAATATGGTATTTCAACACATTATACAATTATGTACTGCTCAAATCCGAGTAAATAATATTTCTACTATCTTATCATTACTTGGTGTTTGGCTTTTTCAAGCCCCCTCTTCTAGTTCTTCATTAAATATATAATAGTTATTAGGAACTCTGGTTTCCCTTACTATTACTTCTGTGTGGGGTCCCTTTTATCCTTTTGCCTTCTTCTTCCCAATCTCTAGTAATCAATATTATATATTCTCATGAATGTTCTGTTTTTCAAATACGAAAGAATTCTTAATGCTACCTTTCTTTTTTATTTCATCATTACTTTAACTTTCCTGAAGTTGAGAGAAGGTGCATGGAAATAAAATGAAGAATCATTGTATTTAGCTCCCACTTACTCCTGAAAGAAAGAAAACAGACATTTAGTAAGATGAAGAAAATCATGCACATGCTTTAAAGATCCATATTGCTACCAATGACAGTGTTCAAAATATAAAATTTAAAAAATTTATGCCCAATATGTGTTTTGGATTTCAGCTTCTCAGACAAGTGTTGAATTACGTTTTAAAAAGGAGTACAAATGCAAGACAGGTAGAAATCTGGGTCAAACAGAATCAACACTTGTACTTTCCTGCCATGGATTGGATGCAAAGTGCTAAACAGTGAAAAGCTAAGAAAAGAAGGTAGAGACAATGGCAGTCCTATTATCCACACTGCCATTAAGCGGTTCTGGCCACCTAGGTAACTTCTCAAGAATGTAACTCCTTTTTCCCTTCTGTTAAAGCCAATGTCCCCATCCTGCTGTCAGAGTTATCTTTCTAAAATACAAGTTTGATCGTATTTTCTTCATTTAAAACCCTTCAGTGGCTCTCCTTTGCTCTAAGAATAAACTTTAGACAAATTAGCTTGTGGTGTCAATTTGAATTTCCCCCAAAAAAACCAACACGTCTCTTGATTCTAGGCCTTTCCTCTGTTCCTCCACTCCTTTCTTATGGCTGGTCTTTCTGGGTTTGTTCTGCTTCTGCTGCTAAGAAGTCTGTGACATCACCTTCCTATGTGTTGCTTGACTGATGCCTGCTTTTTGGTCTTTTTCTACATAAGCTAAGTGACCATGCTTGTTTATTGTTATATATTCAGAATAAGAATATGTTTATGTATTAAGGAGTGAAAATTTAAAGACTGAAATAATCTTAAATAAATTTATAGGGAACTTAAAATTAATGAGATTGTTACATGTTAAGCTAACATACTTTTTCTTACACTTTCATGAAGAATAATCTATAAGTTATTAAGGGTATTTGTGAATGAATGCTTATAACACTGTCAATTTCACATTAGTATGCTAGTGGGAAACATAACACTATACCATATTTTTAAATGATTTAATAAGAACTGTATACCATAAATTAATTCATGCATTCACTGCAGTTGAGTATTTTTAATTTCTTGTAATATACTTTTTTTAGGTAAATGTTATTATTTTAAAATGTCCATGTTGGGATCATAGTAATTCCCTCAGTCATCTGAAGAGAGCTTCACTTAAATTTCATTAGTTAACCTGCTCAATTACCACTTATTGAGTACCAGCTGTTGGGCTCAACACTTGATATTGGGAATATACCAAAATAAATAAATAAGAAGAAATGTAACATGCTGATTATAAGTTCAGGCTCTGAACTAAAGATCAGATTTCAGACCGAGTTTAAGTACCTTAAAACTGTGTGACCTTGGGCAAGTTACTTCATCCCTCTAGGGTACGGTCTTCCCAGGGGTAAATAAATGATTCATTGATAAATGAACAATGATAACTGGAGTTGCTATTCTCCTGGGTTACAGGGAAGGTTATATGAGAGAATTTATGGAAAGCTCTTGGACAGAACCTGCTCTATAAATATTCATTGCTTGTTTTGTTGTTGTGGGTTATTAGAAAATTGTCCTTTCAGGTGACCAAAATGAGACCAGAAAAATGATAAAATAGAAAAAATTTTTAAATATATAAAATAAAACCTTAAAGTGTATAATATTTATAGAAGACAACTGAAATAAGCTATTTCAGGTAGTTATAAAAGCATTTTATTTAGTGATTTATTTATTCAATATACATATGTCTGTCTGCCCTTGAAGTCATCCATGAATGGATTCATTCTTTCATTCAATATGAAATATTTTTTATAAATAGTACTAATTACGAGGTTTGTAAATGGAAATTAAAACATAAGACTTACTATTAAGAATGTCACAATCTATTGGTAGTGGAAGGTGATTATGTCTTACAGGCATCACCTTTGGAAAGGGTTAACATGTTCTGAAAAGACCAGTTAATTCTTGAGAGAGAGGATTATTATAAAGTAAAACCACTTTGTGTGCTTGGCTCCTCCTGTATATGGGTGGTTTTCTTTCTACTTCTCTACGTGTCCTGATGTAGCAAGAGTGGCCCTCACTGGATGAGGGTAGCTGCCAAGCTTTTTGGACATTCTGTTCACTAGTATGATCAACCAAAAAAACTTGTTTCTTTTTTTTTTTCTTTCATTGAGTTTATTGGTACATTTTAGGTATACAGTACAGTTACATTCATCATTGGGATCTTGTACCTTTGCATGACAGATTTTGGTTCTCATTTTTTCCCCTTACTCCTGCCCTTCCTTCACCCCCTCCTCCCTTCCCTATTTACAAATACTTTACTTCCATATTTTATTTTCTCATATTTTTTTCTTTTCCCTTATTTCCTTTCCTTACCCTTCCCACTTCCCCTACACCTTTAGCCCTTTTCTTCCTATTTCACATTGTCAATTGTACCATTAGGACATTATACAATTATAGCTTTTCACACCAGAGAAACTATTTGGTGTTTACACATGTGTGACTTATCTATTTCACTTAGGAGTATATCCTCAATATGCATCC